TCTAGGCACTTGAGTTGTAAACTTCTCGGGATTATAATGCGAGAGCCTTTCAAAAGTAAATTTTCAGAGCAGGAAATTTCATGCCTATACTGATAATACGGCAGAAGCTCTACCGGTAATTTTGATTTCTCCGGCCAGGACGTGATTGAATATTCTTTCAACTTCTGAAAAGTCAAATCTGTTTCCTGCTCATCTTTTATTAAATTTAGGAAATAGTCTTTAATCGGTAAATTTTGAATAACTGACCGGACATAAGCCTCGACCTCCGCTGTCAACTCTCCATTTGTTTAAATTCTAGACTTCACCGGTCCGCGGCTCAAAGTATCGGCAATAATTAAATTTTTTCCTAGAGTATAAATAACGAGATATTTATACCGCATTAGACGCATGCGAAATCTCTGCAAACGAGGTGTTAACTCATCCAAATTTTTAGATTGAAGGATCTGAAGCAGAGGCTTATGATCAGTTTCGAAGATGAGGCGAGGCACTCCAGAAATATAATCGGCAAAATATTCGGCCGCCTATGTAAGAGCAAGGGCCTCTTTTTCAATTTGAGCATAGCGGAGTTCTGCTGAGCTCAGTAATCGTGATGCAAAACCTATAATTTCTCGAGAGCTTTCTTTATTTTCTTGCATTAAACAAGCACCTATTATTATTGTTTTGTTACCATCAAAACATGTCAAGTTTGGTGGACTCTCTAAAACCTCTTTTAGGGTCTTGAATGCCTTTTCTTGGGACGGTCACCATAAAAATTCAATGTTTTTCTTCAGTAAACTTGTCAATGGCTCTAGTATTTCTGATCTATTATGTATGTATTTTGCCGCGAAATTAATCATGCCTAATAATCTCAATAGGTCTGTCCTATTTTTAGATGTAGGAAATTCACGTATGGCTTTCACTCGGTTTGAGTCAATCAAAATTCCATTTTCCGATATCACATGGCCCAAGTATTTTACAGTTCTTGCAGCTATGTGACATTTTCCTTTGTTCAGGGTGATACCTTCCTTATGAAGCTTAGTCAAAACTTTATTTAAAATTTCATCATACCTTTCTAGAGTGCTCGCATGAATCAAAATATCATCCATATGTGTTACACATCCTTCAATACATGCTAAAATTTTAACAAAATTCATTGTGAAATACACAGGCGCACACGAGATTTCAAAGGGGAGCCTTTTAAAGAAAAAACGTCCATATGGCGGTATAAAAGTTGTTAACAATTGGCTCTCCTTACTTAATTTATTGAGATATACCTAGCTAACTGTGGCGAGACTATAGGCTCATTATTGCTGAGATAAACTCATTAATTTCTGCAATTAAATCAAGATAATCTGACTCAAAATCGTCATTAGTTACTGCATTTTTATTAATTAGACCTTTTTCGACTTGTATTTCTATAAAAGTTTTATAACATTCATTAGCTGTTACCTTGCGAGCTTGAAACTTCTCAATTAAAAGATTAGTAACTTCATCGTCCCTATGCTCTAGTAGAAATCTTTGAATTCTTTGCATTGTTTTTGTACACAAATTTTCTCTTTCAATTAATTTTTCCATGTTTTTCTTATTTATAGCCTTGGCTCCGGCCTTAGACATTTTAAAAAATTAGATAATAACAAGATAATACGTAAAATTATTTGGATTGTGCCAATATAAATAAATTATTGGGTTCACTTTAATTTTAATTGCAATAATAAATAAATAGTAAACGTAAACAAGAAATTGTTCAGCTGACTGCCTGACTGGCCGTTGACAGTTGCTTTTGAAATTTAAAATTGGAACAGACTCACCATCTGTTGGCGTAATCTTGAACCTCTGCTACTGCTTACAGCGGTTTTGTTGTCGCTATAGTTGACTTGAAGATGGCGCGAGTAGAGTGAGCCTGACAGATCCTTATTATTGATTGATCATTCCCGCCAATTTCCGCGCTTCTCATTGGAGGAAAGGAGGAATCCATTTTGTTTTTCTTGCACAAACCATGACGCCACATTGCATTTTGCATTGCACAATATTTTATTATATTTTCACTGAGCCGTCTATAGAAGGCACTTTTGGGCAAGCTCTGGACACTGCAAACAACACATATCACCTTTTTGCTTCATACTTTTCACTTCGCGGCACTTTATCCGGTTACGATTGGACCAAAAAGAATGTTGATTTCTTTAAAATAATGAGAGTGGACTGTATTTATAAATTTACATTTATTTACACACACGACTATTTACAATTTGCATTTTCTCGTTTTTGTTTACGTTTTTAGACTTATAGAGTCTGTAAAAATGGTCATATAGGACCTGCCCAGAATTATCTGGTGCGCTCGGTGAGGTTCGATTCGACACTGACCACTGACTGTTCCCGTTGGTTCACTCGCGTAGATGCTGGAAGCCACTTTACCAAAAACTTTGACAAGTGATTTTTGACACTGTTTGACACATACGCGCACACTTCCGGTGCATACCGGGAAAATTAAAATTTGAATTTTAAATTTACTGTTGGAATATTGTTTCCAACAAATATTATGAAAATTTACACTGACAATACTGTATTATTTGTAACTGAGCTATACTACACTACACTTTTTCCCCTAAGTAATTATGCAGTATAGCCCGGTCAATCAAAATAAAAAAAATCGTGATAAAACATACTCAACGGAAAACTCATTAATTTCGTCATTGATTCACTATTTGGACGATACACAAACGATTTTCATTAAAAAAAAAATGTAGATGGCCGGGCTGCATTTTTGTATCGAGCGCCCAGTATACCGCATTCGGGTAACGTCGTATTAACCGAGGCCTGTCTCATAACGAGCGTTTGATTTCCCGATCGATTGTCAAGCTACCGTACGCTTGATACTAGCAAAGAATATTATAGTTAAGTGTTAACTATAATATTCTTTGATACTAGTCTTCTGCGAAATTATGGATCGGCGTCCAACAATTCAGTTTTTTTTTTAATTGTTTATCATTTATTATGCACTGGCCAGAAAATTATATGTACCACATTGTCGATTCCAGCGAAATACGAACTAATTTCAAGACTAAGCAGGAAGTCGAGGTAAGGGAATAAGTAAGAGCAAAATTATGTTTTATCTACATAACCTTACCATGAATAGAATACCATGGCGAGATAGAATAGGCCACTCTTCCAATGACATTATCATCTGTATACTTTTTTCTCCAAAAAAAAACGCCTATATTTTGAAATATGTTAGAACGATTTAAAAATCGAATTATTAAAGCAGGTAAAAATTAACAAGATTTTTGCTATTTACTTAGGGATTTGTATACCTGCAATCGTTATTTGACAAATGTGGAGATTAGATTCAGGCAGATGTAAATAATAGGGTAGTGGACAATTTTTTGAAATATTTTTTTTATTAATCTCCATAACAAAATAAATAGTAGTTGATGATTCTTTAATTTTAGAAAACAAAAATATACCTAAAAAAAAATAAACAAAGTTATACTTTTTTTAAACGCTATAATTTACCGCCCGGAAATTACCTCACAGCTGTTATGTCTAAAGCATTCCGACATTAATAAGAGTGGGCGAGAGCGCGGTCAGTGCGTCCTTATATTTTACATGCTTCTAGAAAAAGATGCAGATAAGCTCAGTGCGCATTGATTGACAAATGAAAATCTCTCAAAAAGAGGTTAAGTTGAGGGTGCGCCCCGACAGACGCTGATATATATCTCTTTTTTGCACTAATGAGTAAGTGTGTGTCGAATATAGGACGAAGGTTTAATTCATTTCATACTCAAATACAACAGCTATGACGTAGAATCAAGGCGCGAAATATTTTCGTTTAAATAGTGCGTCCCAAAATTCCACTTTTACAATCGTTTTAAACCAAGTTAGCAATTTTTTCTGAAATTTCTTTCAATAGGAATATTTTTCATTTACTCCATAGATGAACAATAGATCATCGATTTCATTGAAATTATACCTTGTCCACTACCCTATTATTTATGATGCTGTCTCTAAGTAACAAAACTAACCAAAACTAACCCAAATTGGAGCCGAGCAAAAGATTAAGGTAAGGACAGCCTTAGGGTTAGTTTGGGATAGTTTGTTAGAGACAGCATCAAATAACTAGGCAAATAGTAATCTTTAAGTTTTTTGCTACTTTCCATTCCACTTAGTGAACTACTAGAATTAAAATTGCTTTACGATTTGACTACCAGAACCAAAATTAAACTAATACATATTATCAAGTAGCTTGATGGTGAGGAACCAGGAAAACTCAAAAAGATATTCGAGACTGTAGGCGCGAGTCGCGAGTATCGAGCATACGGTAGTCCGAGTGATTTTCGTACTACCGTGCGCTTGATACGTGCCGAGGTCGAGTACCCCGAATGCGGGTTGCTGGACGCTCGATACAAAAATGCGGCCGGGCTATACTGCATATTTATTTATGGGAAAAAGTGCAGTATAGGTCGGTTACAAATAAACAGTATTTTACTTATGCGGACTAGCTAGCACTATACAGATGGGTTAATAAGGGTTAGTTTGGTTGAATTTTCCCAATTAAATAAAAAACTCTTTGGGTGACCGAGCTATACTGCATATTTATTTAGGGGAAAAAGTGCATTATAGCTGCATTTTTAGTACAATTTTAATTTGTAATTTTTCAATTAAAGATTTCTAGATTTTCGATGAAAATTTTTCTTTGAAATGCACTATTTGGATGTTTAACAAACAAATTTTAATAAAAAAATAAAAAAAATTGAGGTGACTGGGCTATACAGCACTTTTACCTTAAGTTTTTCTTCCATTCATCATCAAACCTCTTTAAAATAGCATATTTCACGTTGAGCAGTATATTACTTTACTTGTGCATATTTACTTTATCGAATGATTTTTTTTTTTTAAATTCACACAAAAAATTACGAACGAACTACAGTCTCTATGAGAGGTCGACATTGACTTTGACTGTGTTTAATAAACCACAATACATATTTTCAAAAAACGTCTATCAAATAATATAAATATAATTTCAGTTACACCGAGAGGACGGCTGAATCTGACGCTTGGACTCTCCATAAAAAAGCGTCGCTTAACAGTGTGACTCCAGAGCAAGAGAATAAACTCAACGGCATGAATTCAGGTAAAAATCAGAATTCAATCAGGTTTGAGTTAGTTTCCGATTACTTAAAGGTGGATCCGCAGCCTCGACTTCGAGTAATGAGCACTCAGTATTAAACAATGAATTAGTCCAAATGCCACAAATTCCTAGTCTACCGGTTGTTGAAGGTACTGATAAGGAGAATTTTTATGAGAATCTTATCGATATGAAGAAACAAGAAGTCCAAGAGGTGAGAATAACTTTTCAGAAAATTGCCTAAAGGTACAGGCAAGGCAGTAAAATGCTATATTTATCACGCTGTCAAGAAGACGCACTTTGTGAATTGATATTTTCATGTTTTTTTTTCAGGACCAACATAATTCAAGAAGAAGCTTGTTTATAATGCGTCACGGCGAACGGGTAGATTTTACGTTTGGCAGCTGGGTCCCCCATTGCTTCGATGAGCTTGGGAATTATGTTCGGAAGGATTTGAATATGCCGATTAGTTTACCCGAAAGAAGAGGTAAGATTGTATATTTTTTGCCATAAAGTTTTTAATTTTTTATTCTTTCTTTAGGTGGCTCAACAGCCTATTTAAAAGACTCCCCTTTAACAAATGTTGGTGTTTTTGAGGCGAAATTAGTTGGAGAAGCTTTGAGAGAACAAAATATCACTATCGACCAAGTTTATTGTTCTCCTTCCTATAGATGCCTGCAAACATGCGATTCAGTATTACGAGGCTTTAATAGGTAATTTAATCAATTAATGAAAATATTGATAATAAATGGAAATCCTTTTTAGACGAGATGAACTCAAGATTAAAGTCGAACCAGGCCTGTTCGAATGGATGGCCTGGTACCCAGCAGCTAGTGTTCCGACATGGATGACCTCAACGGAATTTATTAATGCCGGTTTCAATATAGATGAGAGTTATGTTCCCTTTGTTGCAGAACAGGAGTTAAAAGAGAGAACGGAATCTTGCGAACAGTATTATATGAGAAGTGCCTTTGTTACTAGAAGTAAGAATTTTGAATCAAGTATTTTTACATTTGATCATGCTACAATGACATAATTGCACTTTTATCACAGTTGCGTTTATATTACATCATCATTTTGCTACATGCTCTCTTGTTACTCACTATTTTGTACCTCTCTCTTCCAGTGAAGAGCCAAATTTCTTGATTTAAATTTTTTTTTCTCAGGTGTTTTATCAGACTCAAATTCCCGAGGGAACATTCTTCTGATAGGCCACACAGCCACCCTGGATACTTGTTCCAGAGAATTAATCGGTAAGCCCGCGAGAAATGGCAACGACATGGCGAAAATCATCCAGAAAGTTCCTTATTGCTCCATAATTGAAGTTACTGGACAAGGCAACGATTGGCAAATTGTTGAGCCTCCTTGTATGCCTCTGACTCACTCTACTAATCAGCGCTTTGATTGGAGGGTTTTACTGTAAGCAGCTGTTAGCGGAAAACTTGTTGATATTTTGAAACGAATCGTGTCAAAATTTTATCCTAATGCGCTTTTTTCTGGCACAAAACTTTTTAAATTCCTAAGAAAATTCTATATTTTTCTCCGATTGTTATGATAGTATTATGTATGCATTTTGCTCTTTATTCTAGTTTAAGCAATAATTTTTTGTAATTGTACTTAATTCCTAAGTTTTATTTTTTTTACAATGTTTTTGAAAGCTATATTGTGCAAGTGAAAAAAGAACAAATTTTAAAACTATTTGTTGGATTTTTTTACCCCTGTGCCCTGTGCATGACTCACAGGCTAGAAAAATCATACTCTTTAACTTCACCTACTGTTTGCCTACCTATGGGTAGAATCTCGGATAGAATGGATTATTAGATACTATTCAGGGCAGAATTTTTGGCAGGCAAAATTATAAAAAATTTAATGAAAGCTGTGATTCTGAAATATGGGACAGTGTATTGAGTTCTGGAGAACCATTTGTATGTTTTTATAATATTCTAAATAATATTTTTAATAAAACCTTTCCCCTGAAAAATATAAAAATTAAAGAAAAAAAACCCTGGCTTACATCTGGTATCAAGACTTCAGCAGTAAACCTAAGATCTTTACATACAATCCGAAAGTTCTACAGTGATAATGAATATTTTGTAGATTATTTTCTTAATTATAGGAAAATTTACAGAAAGCTCATAAATTAAGTCGGCCAAAGATATTTATTATAAGGGTGAAATCAGAAAGGCAGGCAATAAAACTAAAAAAAACTGGGAAATAATAAATAGGCTAAGGGGAAAGGCAGACATGGTAAAAAATAATGTTAGAATAGATCCTAACATTCTCAATAACTTCTACTGCACAATCGCGGAAACATTGACATTAAATTTGGACTCTAAAAAAGATCCTCTTGAATATCTGGCCAATATTCAGGTTAATGATAGGTTTTTATTGACTTTACAAATATGCATGAAGTTAGACAGGTATTCAAAGAAATAAAAAATAAATCTTCTGCAGCATATGATGGGATTTCTGTCAGAATACTGGAAAACTTGCCAGATTGTGCCTTACAAATGCTAGTATATTGTATTAATTGTTCGTTTGCCACTGGAGCTTTTCCAACATGTTTAAAACAGGGAGTGGTGGTTCCACTCTTTAAGGGAGGCAACTCCGATGATCCCTCTAATTTTAGACCTATTTCTCTTTTGCCAACACTCTCAAAAGTAATTGTAAAAATTGTTAAGCGGAGAGTGATGGAGTTTCTGGATAGTCACAGACTACTTAGTTCTGTTCAATTTGGCTTCATCCCGTGCAAGAGTACTGATGATGCTATTTTTTCGTTGCTCCACGATATTTATCTAAATATAAAAGGCGGGGAGACGGTCGCGGCAACATTCTGTGATTTTTCGAAAGCTTTCGATTGCGTGGATCATGGAGTGTTGCTGCGAATGCTTCTTCGTTATGGCTTTGGTGACATTTTAGAATCTGTGGTCAAAAATCAAGTCACAGTTTACGCTGCAGAAAACTCAATTATTAGTGAAAATCAATACGGATTTCAAAAAAATTTGAACACTGCCGAGGCTATACATAATCTAGTAAAGAACGTAAATCACATCTTAAACGTAAATCACATCTTAGACGGCAAATCCCATCCTCTTGCGATTTTCTGTGACCTGTCAAAGGCGTTCGACTGTGTGGATCATTGTGTGCTTATGGAAAAGCTGGACTACTACGGCATTAGTGGAATCTCGAACAGCTGGTTTACCTCCTACCTTAAAGACCGGAAATTTTTTGTTGAAATAAAACACCTTGAGAGTGATATTTTGGAGAACATTTCATCGTCAACAAGGACCATCAACTGTGGAGCAAGGGCGGTTTAAAGGGGGGGTAGAGGGGGTAATAACCCCCCCAGACAAAGATTTTTTATACATTTATTAATTATAACAAAATTTCAACAAAAGACAAGTTCTACAAAGTAAAGGAATAAAGGCATCATATGAATATGATAGGCTCACCAGTACCGATGTCCCTACCAATAGGTTCCTATAAAGTTCATAGGTCATAGGTTGTCTGGTAATGGGTAACTTGATGGCACATCTGGGTTACCTTATGCAGATTTGCATTATGTTGAAGCACCCCAGATGACGTCATAAAGTTATCAGGCAACCTACCTCTCTCAGACAACCTTGCGTACCTACAGTATTGCGAACACCCTGTAGAATGTATTAGTATTTTACATTATTAGCCAGGTAAAACAGTTTTTACTGGTGATTGAAGGAAATGACTAGCGAGCCGTCAGGCGAGCTTGTCACCTTCAAGAGCCAGTAATAGTATATTACAATCCGAGACGGGAAATGCTTCATTACTCGTCGAGAGGTTTTATAGTTTATCGAGACGCGTAGCGTCGAGATAAACTGAACCTCGAGACAGCAATGAAGTTTCCCGTCGAGGGTTGTATACTATTTTATTTTTAACCATAATTTCTTGAAAAAAAATAAATTCGGGGCAACCAAATGAGGTCGGCAAATGAAGAGGAAAATGAGAACGGGAAATATTTCCCTGCTCCATTTTCCGTCCGTGGACGGGAAATGAGGAGGGAAAAAAATTCCCGTCCTGGGACAGGTAATGGAGCAGGAAAATGAAAAGACAGAAATGTGACATTTTCAAATTTTTGAAAAGTCAGTAATGACAACATTTCATATATGGTTAAAAATAAAAATTGATACCTGGCGTATGATGTAAGGTCAGTTGGGGTAAATGTGATAACGGGGCAAATGCAATAATTGGCATTTATTCTAACACAAGCGAAAATTTTAGACGTTAGAGTGGTTTTTATTACAGATAATATGTTTTCGAACGAACTCCCAATTTGGCGAATCGTTCCTGTCAGTTGTCAAAAATTTTCCGTTATTTTCCAAACAGCTGTTATTTTCGGTTACATGTCGAGTGCATCATTCAATTATTCGTGCTGTGGAGAGGGCAAGTAAAAATAAAGGTAAGCAACTGAATTTTTGGTTTTAGGGTGGATTGAGTATATATTTTGACTGTAGTATTTTACATTTTCGATATGTGTTTTTGTTTTTTTTTAACAACCCTATGGTACACTTGCCCCCCTCAATTTGAATTGTGGGGCTAATGTGCTATACTACATTTACCCCACAGTCATCTGTATATCACACTTGCCCCATTTTGATTTCAGGAAAAATGGTGCGTGTCTACAAACGGAAAACTAAGCCCAACCAGAAATATGATGATGAAATCTTGCAACGGGCATTACAGGAGGTTCGAGCCAATCGAATGACTATGTACCGCGCTTCCGTAGTGTATAACATCCCCTATAGTACCCTCTATAGCCACAAAAAGGGTTTACGCGGAGTGAAAAGCTCCACCAAGGGTAGAATATGTGCACTTTCACTTGCAGAAGAAGAAAAGCTTGTCCTTGGCCTTACAACCCTCGAAAAATGGGGATTTGGGTTAACTCGGAAGGAGGTCCTAGAACTGGTCGCTGAATATGTGACCAAAAACAACATCCAAACCCCCTTCAAAAACAATGTTCCTGGACCAGATTGGTTCATAAATTTCAAGAGACGTCACAAGTTAAGTTTAAAGATTCCACAAGCAGTCGAGTTTGCTCGCAAGAAAGCAACAGATCCTTTCATCATATATAAATATTTTGATTTGCTAGAAACAGTACTCAAAGACCTGGACTTGGGCAACAAACCAAATCAAGTGTGGAACTTGGATGAAAGTTCTTTCTCCATTGATCCGTCCAAATGTAAAGTCGTGGGGTTAAAAGGAGTAGCTTGTTCTCGAACCGTTAGCTCTCCTGGCCGGGAGAACACCAGTGTCTTAATGTGCGCAAGTGCAGCTGGTAATAAAGCACCACCGTTAATCATCTTCAAAGGTCTTAATGTGTGGGATCAGTGGATGGCCCCTCAAGGAACAGGATTTCCTGGAACAGTCTACGCTGCTAGCAAAAAAGGCCGGATGGAATCAACGATATTTTTGAATTTTTTCAAGAAAACTTTAATACCCTGTTTTGGAGACGAGAGACCGGTGTTAGTTATTTATGATGGCCACAGCACACACCTAAGTCCCGAGATCATTGAGGCAGCCTTGGCAGAACGTGTGACAATTTTAAAATTGCCCCCTCATAGCAGCCATCTTCTTCAGCCTCTCGATCTGGCGGTTTTTAAAGCTTTAAAGTCAAGATGGGACGAGAAGTTGGTGAGATGGCAAAGACAGCATGTGGGGCAAAAACTTCCAAAGAAATTATTTGCGCAATATCTAGGCGAAACATGGCAATCGCTAGAAGGCACCATAATTCAAAATGGATTCAAAAAAGGCGGAATAGTACCTTTCAATCGAAATGTTATTCCTAGAGAGAAGTTCTGCCCAGAAGCTCTTAAAAGATGGGATCTCCATAATCGACGTGCGGATCCTCCAGAGCATATAACGGCGGACAGTTCCAATATTCCAGTGCATGTTGCGGCGGACAACCCGTACAAAGACCCCGTTGCTTCGACTGCAGCTATGCCCTCTGATAACCCGCTCTCATTTGAGTCGCTTCTGCTCTCCACTGTTAAGCAAAAAACACCTAATGAGAAGCTTCCAAGGAAAAAAGTTGCCGCTGGGGCTGAAATAATAACCAACGAAATTCTTCTTTTCAAGTCCCCTCCTGTGAAACGTTCAAATAAGAAAAAGGAAAAGGCTGATAGTTCCTCGGACGATGACGACCCAGAAGACTTCTCGGTCCAGGACTCCGACAGCGATAATGAATATTTAGATTCTTTACGAAATCCCTCTCCAGAACCTACGGATGTGATAGAGCAAGTTCCAGCGGTTGACAAATGGGTACTTGTTGAGTACGCCACAAAAAAAACCAAGAAACACTTTGTCGGCCAAATAACCGAAAAGGATGGGAGGGACTGGGTAATTAAGTTTTCGCGACCAAAAGGAACTAAGTTTATATCACCTCTAGTAGATGACATCGATACGGTTGAGGAAGAAAACATTATTAAAGTGCTTCCTGAACCTGTAATTGATCGAAGGGGCATAATTTCATTTAATATAACCTTTACAGGGTTCAACATTAAATAAAAGCTAAAAAAGTAACCATATTTAAGTTAGAAATAAGTTGAAATGCCTAAAAACGTTTATACTTAATGTAAGAGAATTCCTATTAAGTTTTTTACCTGTTCCTCGTAAACAATAATAAAAGTTTTATTTTCGTTTTTTCACTTCTTGGCGTATTATTTCAA